AATTTAAATGTCCATTAAGGAATTATATTCCTGATCAATCAAAATTCATAAACAATTATATAGGCCCCACTACAACATGTTTGACAAGAAGACTCACATTACATCTTTCTGATCATAGCTCAATTAGGTCTCATTTAAATACTCATGGAGACCTACTGGACCCTATTCATAACATACTTGTTGATAAATATAATAGCTTTGCCTACATGTAAAAAGGCTAAAACTTATGGAAGCCTTATTAACAAAAACAAAAAAACAGCACTCAATAATATCAACTATGAATATGTACACAATATCTTGACTATGTTTTACAAAATGAAAACAAATACATACAATCTATTTCTTAACAGTTAATATATTTCAACCTTGAAAATGGCTAAATGTATAGCCGAAAGCGCTTGGAAAAAAAAAAAAAAAAAAAAAAAAAAAGAAGAACAATTGGATGGTTCTTATATAATTTATCTACTGAAAAGAAAAAAAAATTATAAGATCACATGAGAAATTGTACAAAAACTAAAAGCATCTTATATATATATATACACACACACACACACACACACACACATATACTTAGAAAATTGTTGGTTATTGGAATTCATTCTGTATACACCAATTATATATTTGGATATGGAGATATATATAACAGGGTGGTTGAAAAGTAGTGGGTAATCCACATCCTAAAATCTGATGTTTGGCCAGATTTTGGGAGGTGAGTTGGACTGAGAACTCTTCAACACACCTATTTATATATATATATATATATATATATATATATATATATATATATATATATATATATATATAACTTCAAATGTTATTATAGTAGATGCTATATATTTGAAATATGTGCTCAATTTTATTTATTAAACAGTGTGTATTACATCTATCAGCCTGCACATTTGAAAAATCCTAGTAATTATAAAGTGTTCTGCAGCAGGGATCAAACCTGTGTCCCCTTTGTAGGGAAAGAACCATTTGATCCGGCATGCTTTACTATCATAATTTTTTAAGTAATAAAAATGTCAGATTGAAAATAAATCCATTAATTTACATACACATACTGGTTATTGAATGAAAAAAAATTGAAAACATCTGAGCAAGGATTTTCATCTCAAAGTCAGTCCAACTTCAAGATGAAAATCCTTGCTCAGATGTTTTTCAATATTATATATATGAAAAAAAATATAATATTAAGGTATGCTATAGCCTGTCACTACTAAGTTTTTACTTCAATGTCAACTTTTATATTTACACACTCTCATATATATCTCCACCCACTTATATATAACAAATATTGGTTTCAATTTTACACTGAATATGTCAAAGGTAGAGAGACACTCAGCTTTAAATCTAAATTTTTATGTTTGCTATATCTAGATGTTAACCAATTTAATTCAGCTTTCTATCACTAGTGTTTTTACTTTTGTATCTATTATTATTTCATTATTCAACATTGTAACAGCTAGAGTTTTATAAGATATGTTAAATGATTCTGAACATAAATTTATAGGTAAGACTGGGTCCATCAATAAAAAGCATTATTAGCCTGAAGAAGTTCCTTCTTAGGATGAAATGTATCACTAAACATTTTTATCAATTTGTCATAAAATTGTCCACTATAGATTTGTATTGGTAGGGATTATTCCAAAAGGACTTTTAGTCTATATAAGAGCTCAATGTATGATACAGAGCAAATTATAATAATAATTATAATATTTATAGTCAGTCTGATGAAATGAATATGCCTATATTCATCAAAATAAATTTATTACCAACACTGGATTTCTAAGGTTTTTCCTATATATATATATATATATATATTATATATATATATATATATATATATATATATATATTTGCAGCTAAGATCTGCCATGTCACATAAACTGGGACAAAATCATATTCATTCTCTTCATATTCGATTACTAAGAAGGAAGTTCCACTCAGACTTCTAGAATAAACTCCCAAAAGTATGTTTTCCTGATCAGTAAAATCTTAACCTGTTAATGTTTAGGGTTAACTGTTATTTATCCCACATAACATCATAAGCTGCACTTCTCACCACCTCATCCTATACATCATTCAGTAACACTACCTTGAGTGGCTCTGTAGTTTTGTATTACAACATAAGCAAAAATCATTTTTTAACTTTTTATGGTATCTTCGGGTTATAAGTGAAACAGGTAAGAGAGCCAATGAGAAATATATTTATATTTTCAGAATACACACAGCATCACACCTGTCATTAACTAATATATGTGAGGTGATAAATGACCTGCAGGTCTTGGTTCAAGAACTGGTCAGAGCACAGAGTTCAATTAAGCCATGGCCTAGATTCAACCCAAACCAGTACTTAGTACAAACTCCTCTTTTTATTAAACATTCATCTTTGTGTGGCCTCTATATATGATCAATATTTTAAAAAATGTGTGTGTGTGCGTGTATGTGTGTGTGTGTATTTATCCTCCCTCCAACAGAATGCTTAACCTGAACTGATGCACAAATCCCTACTTTAAAGATAATCCACCATTTTTTTTTGTCCTCTTTTCTTTACAAAGTACTGATAAAATGTACAAGCTGACTTGTAATCTGCAAAGAGAAAGGCCAGCAATTATTTCCCTAAATTATCCAAGTTAAAATACTTCCAAACCCCATCATTAACCTCAGTACCCTTTTGGCCAGATAGATAAGGTGCCCCTCCATCATCAAGACATTGGTGAAACTGTGACACATACATACAATTTGATTATGGCAACTATAATTACTTAATTAGAAAAGGCTTTTCTAATAATTAAAAAAGCATTTGATGTGAGGTGTTCAAAATGTTAGAAAAAATAGACTGCAAGTTGATAAAACATTGAAAACATTTGTTTCCGCCTGAAAAGAAATATCAGACATTCAGTTTAACCAAAATTGTCAGTGCAAGGATGATAACTAGTTATATCATGGAATGATAAGAGGTATATTATTGCTTAGTAGGAAGTTGTTTAATTAACTTTCAAGTAATAATTATAGCTGAAACTAACAAAGTACATTTTTATTTTATGATTTTAAAATCTAAGAAACAAGAAGTGGAAATTTATTTTTGCAATGACTGAAAACATCAAAATGAAGTACCTTATCTTGTATATCATTGATGCAGAGAAAGCAAGTATGAAAATGATAAAATTAACCTATTTAAAATTAAATATTGCAAAAAATGAACATAGAAATTTTATAAGATGAAGAGAGACAAAAGACAAGAGAAGAGTCAAGAAAGGATACTAAAAGAGATAAAAAAAGACGACAAGAGACAAAAAAAGAGACATGAAGAGAGAAAAGAAAGAAAACTAGAAAATATAAAAAAAAACACAAAAAAAGCAAATAAAACAAAAAACAGACACAAGCAAAGTAAAAATAAATGATAACCAAGAAAGGAGGTAAAAATACAAGAGAAAAGTCAAGAAAGAGAAAAAAAAATACTGAGAAAATGAAGACAGAAAAAGAGGAGACTGATCTTTCCCTCCAATCACCAATTAGTCTAATCATTAAACACATTGTGACACCATTTAGTCCCTCTCCTTTTGGAAATGTCTGTTTATAAAGTCACAATCCTCCTTACCTCTTCTCCTCCGCTGAGCAGTCATTCTCTATTAACATACATCAGAAGATAATCATACAAAGCATTTTAACCAAAACCCCGCACTGACTAACATTTGTTTAGCAAGGAACTGTTGAATTGCCTTCTCTTTTATGTCAGGCAGTGGAGAGAGTGGTGTAGAATGGGTATTTTGCTTCCTTCCTTTCTTTAGTTTCTGTTTGGTAACTGATCATCACCCCCACCTCACCGTATTAATCCTGTTATCATCATTAAGAACTTAAGTCATTATTTTGTCTCAGGGTTTACAAATTTGTTCCTATATTTGATTTTATTATTAGTCCAAGAAGAGAATTGGGGGTCTGAGGTCATGAGGTCAGCTTTGCTACTCTCATTAATACTGTTGCTGTACTCAATATCTACTGATTCGTTCTAGAGTTCCATTTATATTTTAAAGGACAAGGAAAATTAAGACCCCCCCCCAAAAAAAACACTTCTATGTGCTACATTCCTTCATTGCTCTCCAAAACTTCCTATCTCTTAGCAGTTTTTCTCCCTTTGCTAAGCCCGACCCCCTCATTCATGGTGAGATTGTCCAGCATTCATTGCCCTGATATCTCATAGCAATCCAGTGGTTTTTTTCTATTTCTCAGCAGCTAGCTTAGTTTTTGAAATGCTTTTCCCCAGATATTTAAACTTTTACACTTGCTTGATGTTTATATCTTCAATTTGTAACTTGCATCTTTGACTGTTTCTCTTGCTGATGATCATATTTTCTGTTTTCTAGCAGTTGATGGTTAGTGCTTTCTTCCATTGCTCTGCTTAGGATGGTCCTGGAGTTTTCTGAGTTGGCCATCAACACAGTGTCATATGTGTAGCTTATATTGTTAAAAACACTAGATAACATCAAAAAGGGATAAGTTTTGAAGGGTGAAGAAGAATTCTTTTTTAACTTTTTATGGTATCTTCAGGTCAGAGCACATAGTTCAAGCCATGGCCTAGATTCAGTCCAAACCAGTACTTTGTATAAACTCCTCTTTTTATTAAACATTCATCTTTGTGTGGCCTCTATATATGATCAATATTTTAAAAATGTGTGTGTGTGTGTGTTTATTTATCCTCCCTCCAACAGAATGCTTAACCTGAACTGATGCACAAATTCCTACTTTAAGGATAATCCACCATTTTTTTGTCCTCTTTTCTTTGCGAGTTATTTAAAGCCAGAAATTATTTATAGATTGTAAAAATTTTTTTTTTTTTTTTAAAGTTAATGGTTTAGTGATGCAGGTCTAATTAACCCATAGCTAGGGGGAAGAGTGGATTCCAATGTTTCCCATGGGTATTGTGTGTTAGTGAATATAACAAAGCCAACTGAAATTGGAATTCTGAGCCATTATCCATTACACCACCCGCATAGCCAAACTTACAGCACATAGTATTCCCAAGAAGTCACCCATCTAGGTAATGATCATGCTCAACATTGCTTAACTTTGATGATCATATAGAAACTGGTGTTTCAATGTGATGTGGTCGTAAGTCTAGTGAAAAAGGAAATTTAAAGCAGAGGATGTCATCTAATGAAAGAAATAGCTAAAATAATTTTTTTAAATTTTAATTTATTTTTTTTTTATTTTCAGGCAATTGTGCATTCTTTGTATAAGTTAGCATTATCCATGTTTAATTTTTTTTTTAAGCTATTATGAAAATTTAAAGAAATTTTTGGAATCCAATAAGAATTTATTAAATTCAATTAAGATCATTTTGTCTTGATAGCATTAGCAACAACGTTTTCATTACTCTTTTCAACTTGATATTGTCAAAAACTTTTCTTCTATGTGCTAAGTCTCTTCAGGATGTAAGTGATTAAGGCTCTCCACAATTTCCTATCCTCTTAATAAATTTTGTTTTATTTTTTCTAAACCCTGTTACACCATCCATTTACTCCAGTTATGTGTTGTTTTCTTCTGTCCCTTGTGACTTCAATACGTCCTGTGAGTATCAAGTTATCTAAGCCTTCTTTCCTCATATGCTCTAGAAATTTCACCAGTTTCTACCTGATGTTAAGTATAAGCAGCCTTTTTGTTTCTATTTTCTCTAAAATTTTGCTGTTGCCCACATGTTCGACCCATGGTATCCTCAGTATCCTTCTGGAGAACCATATTTCTGTTGATTCTGTGAGGAGATTTGTCCAGCATTCACTGCCATATAGGAGGACAGATATCTCCTAACAGTTCAGTACTCTTTTCTTTATTTCTAACAAAATTTTCTTGTTTCTTAATACTCTGCTTAGCTTTTGGAATACATCTTTAGGATATAATAAAGATAAAGAAAAACTCCCCTACTTCATTTGAATTGAATATTTTCACTGTCAGAATAACCAAGCAGTAAATGAATTTTTGAGGGTCTCACATTAAATACTTTCAATCTCTTGAATAAAATCAACATCTTACGATGTGGTAATAATATTTACTTGTCAAAGGAGCAGCATCTTTAATTATTCATCATACAAGATGACATTATATCGAGACCGTTAAATCACATTAAAATCATTTGCCGTATATTTTTCTTTGTTTATTATGTTGACAGAAGTTTAAATCTTTACCTGTTTCATAATTTCTAGCACTAAGTAAATAATTTAGGATTTAATAGTTATACATATTTTTTTTAATTTTAGGGCCACTTTATAACATATCTACTAGCTTAATCTGGCCCTGAATATTTGGAGCATAAAAGAAAAAAAAGATATGCTACAAGTAAGGAGGCAATGCTTTTAAACAAAGAGGCTAGTTTTTAACAATCTTAAAAGAGGGGATGGCAGGATTGGGTTGAGTTGATGAATGGGCACCTACAGACACCAATGGACTCGGGCACTAACATAAGCCGCCACCCAGATAGAAAATATCTATAATGCTTAGAGAGATGGAGAGGTCAATAGAGATCTATTCTTAAAATGTCTAGTCTAAAAAATATAATCAATCTCCAGGAGCCTAAGGTAGGGCTTTTGGCTTTTGACCAAATTACACACAGCACATCAATTAAAGCCAAGTGTTGTGAGTACAGGTAAAAATAACAGACATATCCAAATATTAGACTGTAACCAATGCATTGGTATTTTGGATATGAGGCTGGTCTCCAAATGACTATGCTGTACAGTTAGTAACTTTGAATGAATTAGAATGAGAAATGACAAACCCAAACACAAAAATTGACTTCATATTATATACTACCTATATGGTATATTTTTCAGTATGAAGGCAAAAGTAACATTGAGTAACCTACATGATGAGCCTTAGTAAATGGATAGCTGAACAAAAACCACAAAGATAAAGGAAAGTGAAGTTACTTAGAGCAACAATATGCAGGAAGTTGTGGAGAGCCATGACTGTCCATGTCCTGAAAGGCATATAAAAAATTCTCCCAGAGAATCATATCTCAATATCCCACAGTTTCATGTAAAATTATTTACACAAACAAAAATCACAAGGGCGAGTGAATTTGACCAATAGCTAATTTTATAATGGGGAGTTAATCTAAACATGACCAGTGAGAACAACAAATATGCAAACAAAATGAACTGTTCAGTTCAATTAAAAGAAATATTCACATAAGGCAGAAAGTGAGATGTTAAATATGGAAATTTTGTTAGAAACAAAGAAAAAAAAAAGTGCTAAACTGCTATGTAATATCACTCCTCCTATAGAATGCTGGACAATTTCCTCACAGATGAAAAAACTTGAGATGATAGAGATATGGTTCTACAGAAGGATGATAAGAATGGAGTATGGGAACAATGAGAAAGATTTAAAAGGAAAATAGACACAAAAAGGACACTTGTAATTAGAATCCAAAAGAGTTGAAATTTCTGAGATAAATAATGAGGAAAGTGACTTGAAGAATCTGACACTCATAGGCAAGTTTCTTGGGTCCATTACTTGAGGTTTCCCCTCTGCCCCAGATGGAAACATCGAACAATGGACCTAAAAGCTTGTGTAAAGTGGATAGAAGAACAAAACTGGGAGGGAGAGTAAGAGGATAAAAATTAGAGCTACAGAAAATAGGCAGTTATAGAGAGCCATGATTTCCCACATCCTGGAAGGATATGGTACATAAAAGAACTTCCTCAGGAGACAATTAGGAATTCCAAGCAACAAGAAAAAACAAATATTTTACCAAATTCGAGTGAATGGTCCATTTCAAAGACAGACTAAATACAAGACAGGTAGTAAGACTAGACCCCCTCCAAAATGAATTCAGGATCCAAACCTTGGACCTTTTTAATTATCTAAATCAAAAACCTGCCAAATATTTAAGCTTACTCAATCCAGATTCAAAAAAAAAAGAGAGAGAGAGAGAGAGAGAGAGAGAGAGAAGCTCCAAGAAAAATTATTTATGTATATTATATGAACATGAATGATTTTCTGGTATGTAGATATTTGAGTCATGCATTTTTTTTTTTTTTATTCTGCTACAGAAAATAAATTTCCTTCCAGAAACATACATAATTAAATTCAGAACATAAGTGCATATAGATTTACACACAAGGGAGTGCTGAAAAATTCTTGGCCTGACCAATTTAAAAAAAAAAAAAAAAAAAAAATCTAATATTTGATAATTCAATCAGATTTAGGGAATTGGGAATTTAAGGAATTGAATTTTTCAGCACCCCCACCCAGGCGTGTGTGTGTGTGTGTGTGTGTGTGTGCAGGTGCATAAAAAAAAAATATGCTTGAGTATAAATGACAAGATCTATTTAATTTTTCCAGTTTTAAAATTAAAAACAAAATGAGTAGATTCAATAATCAAGTACAATGTATTGAAATAAAGATTTGTCAGCGCCTGCCCAATGTTATAACCACTAAGATAGGATCCAAGACTGAAGAGATGGGAGGCATGTAATTCAAAATAGCATCCATTAACAACTGGGGTTGAAAGCAAAAAGGGGAGAGATTGAATTAGAAATACTTGAGAAGCTGCAGGTCACTGTCACAGAGGACAGGAGTTTGGGGGGGGGGTGTAATGTATTGTCCAAGTCAACAAAAAGAGGTTGAAATTGCTCTGATGTTCAACAGATGAAAGAAAAGGAAGAAAAAGAGAAAGCAGGAATGAGAAGGGAAATGAAAAGAGAAAAGATAAGGAAGAGCGAGAAATAAAGAGGATAAAATAAAGAGGATAAAAAAAAGAGAAAGAGAGAACAGGAGAGAGAGAAAGGTCTATGGATAAAGAAGGGAGATCTAATAAAAAATTAAATACCTTCATGCAGAATGAAAGGTAAAACTCACAGAAATATGAAGAAAGTGTACGGATCCCTGTCAATAACATTTCTAAGACAGAAATGTCAGTCAGTCCTATATTTTAATAACTCATGTTATTAATTTTACGTAACAAAAAAACTTGTTAAATTTAGCATAAAAGATAACCAAATTATAACAGGACCAATATATCAAGTTCAAACAGTAGGCTTAATCTATGCTGATGTTACTTATGACAATCCCTTTTTACTGATTTCCAGTGAATTTCTACACTAAAATCATTAGCAATCCATTTACAGCATATTTTTAATAGTTCTGTAACACTTCCATTAATTCCTGACCACTGACAATCCTCTTTTCATTTTCAATGCAAAAACAAAACTTGCATAAAAATTAAGTGTGTATATATATATATATATATATATATATACAATATAGTGATATATGTATTTTTATATATCAAGAACAATATTGGGAAAAAAAAAAAAAAAAAAATGTATGACAAAGTGGGGAAAGTTTTCTTGTGACTTTTTTCTTAATAACCTAGCCAAATTTCATCTGGAATCTTTTTCTTCTCATCACTTTTGTTAGTAGCTATCCCACACTGTGGGATAGCTACTTCCTCATTCCTCATTCTGTCACGAATGGTGAAATTAAAAAAAAAAAAAAAAAAATCTCCTGCTTGTTACATTCAAATTTGAGATATAAAGTATGCTAATGTTTAACCAAATACTGTAAACAAGTAGTTAGTCCAACTTATACTCATAATGCCTCAATATTAAATATAATTAGAGATCTTGTCAAATATAGATTTCTTGCCCTGAAACTTTAAGTTCTGAGTGGAAGAAGGGTGAAAATAGAGAAACTGGTAAGGGAACAAGCAAGAACGCTCAATGATGACTGGTTGTACAGTCATCGTTGTCTGACTCTCTCACTCACACACACACACACACACACACAAAAAGCGGGGAATCATAATACAAAATTATTTTCATATTCTTTAAAGAAAGGATATCAAAGAACTTCAAAGCTTCGATCATTTCACCATCCCCAAGTTTCATTGTGCTTGTTGGCTTCCACAAGTATCTCCCTTTGCCATAACAATTTCTCATTTCATTGTTAATACTGGTTTAGCCACAGAATCAATTGGATAAAATAAAAACTGAATAAATCAATAAATAAACTCACATGCTAGTCAACCCCAAGAAAAAGAGAGCAAGAAAGAGAGAAAGAAATATGATAAAGGTTCAAATTAGGATAGAAACGCAAACAAACCATAAGAGAGT